ACAAAAATGTTTTGTGTACATTGACAATTCTGTGTTGGGCTACATTCGTATCTGTTCACAGGTACATGTGGGCTTGTGGTGAGTTGCAGGTTGACAGACACATATGGGGCTGAGGAAGTGGCTCAGTGTGAAAGTGTCTAGCTAACAAGCAATAGGCTCTGAATTCAATGACCAGCTGCACAACATTTTAAAATAATGGTCCATGTCTGTAAACTAACATCTAACAATGATTCATCAAATACAGTGAAACAGAGGTAGAGAAGCAGTGCTGCATCAGCTACCAAAGTTCCTTTAATTCCTTATTGGAAAATAAAAGGGAATAATATGAATATTCAGAAGACATTAATACTATATAACTCATGAAAAACATCATAAAGTAGTATTTAACAATATGAAGTTACATTGTGATGCATAGGAATTAAGAAATACCAAAACTGGGTCTTAAGAGAAAATCAGCAGCAAACTTGCTCTTTTTCAACACTCCACAGTTACACAGTAATACACCAAGTATCACTTCATAATTTAGCAAAATTAGAGCTGTCACACAGGCACTTCAGTTGTAGTACTGGTCACAGATATGGTCAATCTGCTGCATGCAGCACAAATGGACATCAGTGCAATGAAATACAGTGTAACATATTCTGAGCTGGTACATTCAATATTTTATAGAGAATGGTTTTTAAGGAGTCATCATCCAAGCACAACTAATATAAAGAAGAAATCTGACTAATATTAATTCTTAAAATTTATGAAAAATACAATATTACTCCAATTGAGGGCTTTGGAAGGGTGTTCACTCAACACAGATGTTCAAGATGCATGAGAATGTGTCATTGTGAGGAAATCACTTCCATGCCTTCACTAGGATACCTCACACACTTGCTGCACATCTCCAGTACAGCTGCACCTGAATGGTACTGTGGCTGACTGGGCTATCCATCCCTCTACTTCATTACACTCTAGAAAACTAGGACATCTCTGCAGCATTTGGCACTTCACATATATATAATGTAAGAGTAAACAAACAAGATAAACACAGGAAAATCTAACCCCCACACATGCGTGCTGTGAGATGTTCTGTATGGCAAATGTGTTGCTAATTAGTCAATAAATAAAACACTGATTGGCCATTGGCTAGGCAAGAAGTGTAGGCGGGACAAGGAGGAGAATAAAGCTGGGAAGTGGAAGGCTGAGTCAGAGAGACACTGCCAGCCGCCACGATGACAAACAGCATGTGAAGATGCTGGTAAGCCACGAGGCATGTGGCAAGGTACAGACTTATAGAAATGGATTAATTTAAGATGTAAGAACAGTTAGCAAGAAGCCTGCCATGGCCATACAGTTTGTAACCAATATAAGTCTCTGTGTTTATTTGGTCGGGTCTGAGCGGCTGTGGGACTGGCAGGTGAGAGAGATTTGCCCTGACCCTGGGCCAGGCAGGAAAACTCAAGCTACACATGCGGCTTCTGAATGAAGATGAAAAAATATTTTAAACAGATTTCAGAGGTAAGTAAGAATCAAGACAGCAAACTCACTGTGTCATATTAATTTGAATGTTTATGGGATCCTCACAGCATGGTTCAGCCAAATGAGAGCAGAGGAGGAGAGAGAGCCACTATTTGCTTGAGGTAACAAATGAGAATTCCAAACACGGAGAACATTAGAAATTTTGGACTTTGAAAAAGTTGTTCATAATTTTTCAAAGAATTTTTGGTTTCATTGTCAAAAAGAGGTTTATCTACACAGCTCATCACTTGGTTTGGGAGGGTGATAAAATAACAAATATATGGCACAGGTTAATAAACCACATTTCTCCAGACTTTTGATCATTGGGCTGCAAAAGAGAAAAGGTAACTCCAGAGGCCACTCTCGGCCACTAGGTCACAAAGACAAACGAAAGTGCCACAATCTAATTTCCCTCAGGATCTGTGTAGCTCACGTAAGAGTGCCATTGAAACCCATCTCTCAGGGAGTCCTCCACAAGCTCTTACAAGATATTTTGAAAACTGTAAATGCAACTGGAGTTCTTTTCAACTCAGCTGCAGGTTACAAAGTAATATTAAAGATGCTTCAAAATGGATATAATTCAGGAAACATAATTTAAACAGTATTAGTGCAATTATGACATGCTATTGTGAAATCCACAACAGCTAGAGTGGGACTCTCAGAATAATAATTAGAAATGCAAGTATGTGATTATGCAGTTTTCCCTAGTAGTACCTGTCCCTCTTGGCTCCTTACTGGTACAGAAATTATTATAGGGACCACAGTTTCTAAAAGAATTGTAGATGCTTTGTATTAATAATCCCCTAGGAAGCAGGATTCAGATTGAGTTTTGTAAAGGACAGGTGTGGGGCATCTTAAGGTAACCACTGGATACCGTGCACAGTAAATGTGCATGCCCAGGACTGGGAAGTTCATAATGCAGAAGGGCAAGAGAGAGAGGTTAGCTTGCATCTGTGTATCTTGGGAAGTGATGTAGATAATTACTTGACATTAAACAGCAGAGTAACTGCCACAGCACACCCGAATGCAACAGCTCCCCAAGAAACTTCACCATGCCCTTTGACTTCCTAGCCACCCATAGCTGTCCCAGGCATAAGAGTGGCCAAGGATGCGCCATTCTTAAAAGGAAGACACTGTTTTATTGTTTAGCTCCAAAACACACACAAGGGCACTAACCGTTAATAACAGAGAAACAAAAGTTATTTGAATTTTCTATTACTAAGGCCTTGGTAAGATTTCAGAAGCCCTTCTTCTCCAAGCTGCTCAGAATGTGTCTTATCGAGTCTGTGGAGAGGTATCTTCTCATCTAACTTCTTCGTGATGCTGTCATGTACAGTCACACTTATCAGAATTTGAATTTCATTAATAAGCAAAATAGGAGGCATTTCCGTTCCTGCAGCATGTTATTTGACAAGTACACACTGATAGAGTGGACTTGTGGCTTCCAAATCGATGGCTGATATATAGATCCAAAGCCTTTCCAACATCTGGGAGATAAAAGCAGAAGAGAACGACTCAGCATGACTACAAGACAGGAGCTTCCAAACCCCAACCGTATCCATCCAAACCAGCGCTCGCCTTACAAACACCGATCAGCACCTTCAAGGAGACCAAGAGCAGCCGAAGAGAAGCAGTTCTGAAGAAAGAAGGTACCAGCATGCCACAACAGAGTCCGGAAAGAGTAAAGAGTAGCTTGACCCTATACATGACCCTACACATTAGGAGGTCAAATCTTAAGACTGGCAGCGGAGAAGGAACCTGGAAAGGCCTAGACAGAAAGCATCACTTTGGAAGGAAACAATTTAGAATAAGAGGAGAAATTCTTTCTAATTTTTTTATTTTTTTTAATTAAAATATAATTTCCTCATTTTCCCTCTTTCTTTTCCTCCCTCCAACCCCTCCTTTTTACCCACCCCCACCTCCAAAGCTGGGCTGTATTATGCCTGGTTAGTACTTGGATGGGAGGAGAAATTTCTTTAGAAACCACACATTAGAAACGTAAAGAAAGAAAGACATTAAGAACATGTAGGAGAAAAAGAACTTTAAAAGTGATAAGAACATGACTATTCAAAAGCTGTGTCATCTAGTAAGGAGGCCAACATCATCCTGTGCTTATACAACGAGAAGAATATGGTCACCTTGAACTAGGAATGTCACAACCACTCTGGCTAGGGAAAAAAAAAAGACTAAAATTAAAAAGTAATGTAAACAGTAAAATGAGAATGAAAGCCCAGAAATTGAGCTGATAAATATTTTTAAATCACCAAAAATAGAAGTTATAACAAAACAGTAATATTCCAAACTAAACTAAATATCCATAAACCAAATGACAAAAAAAATTGAAAAGGAATAAATAAAACAAGACTTGATTTTAAAAAGTAACAGAAGTACAAAATCACATTAAAAACAGAAACTGGAGGACATGATTTCTAAGAAAAAAAATAGACATTAAAGGAAATATAGAAAAGGATACTAGAAAAAACAACAGCCAAAAGCCAAGTGAATAAAATGAAATAGAGAAAAAGGGCCAGCAAAAGAATGGTTCAAATGAGAGAGAGGCAAAGATGCACAACTGATGTTTTTAAAAGTAAACAAAAAGGCTTCCCACAGGAAACACATTAAAAGGAGTGACATCAAGACTAGTAACCCTGACCTAATAATCTATTCAAAAAGAGAGAGGAACCAGAGTACAAAATAAAAGAGTCCACTAAGAACTATGGAAAATAACCTACAATAGTTAACTCAAGAGAAATATTTACAATACAAATAACAGATGAAAGGCTAATAATCCACAGACATTTCACAGTAGGAGTAGGAAAAGATGAGCTGAGCAGGTGGCACGAGCCTACAATCCGAGCACTCTGGAGGTATGAGCAGACACATCACTACACGTGTAAGGCCAGCCTGGTCCACAAAGCAAGGTCAAGTTTGGCCATAGATGCACAACCAGACCCTATCTCAAAAGATGAAAACAGAGCGCGCACACACACACACACACACACACACACACACAAAGTACAATGATCAATATGCAAGTCATAGATGAAACAAAAAACAAAATCAGAAGGGGATGTCCAACATCACAAAAAAACCCTTTAAATACAGATAAAAAAAATCAATATATTGTTACTAGTAATTTTCAAAATCTATTCACTTCTTCTCTCCCCGCCCCTTTGTTTGTGTGTGTGTGTGTGTGTGTGTGTGTGTGTCGGTGTATATGTTATTGATGACCAAGCCTATGGATTTACATGCTAGGCAAGTGCTCTACTACTGAGCTGTATATCCCCAGCCCACAAAATTTAAGTAGCTTCATAATACTCAGTGCTATTCTCATATAATATTGATCAGTATAAATTAATACTTTATTAAAGAGGAACATTACCATTATCTATTAAGATTTCCCATATATCATACATCTAAAGATTATTCATACATGATTATAAAGAAATACATTCAAGAATATTTACTAAAATGTTGCTTATATCAGTAATAACTGGAAAGAATATAAATTTGCATCACAAAGAAAATGGTTTAAGAGATTAAATGAGACTGAAAAGAATGGAGAGCTACATCAACAACATGAGGAGTCCTCCAATATATCCTGTGATATAGTGACCTGGATTGTTCATTTATTAAAGGTATGTGTAAAAGGAAGAACAATTTGATCCCTCCTAATAAATCAGAAATTATATATTACTATTAACACATAGCTGTCAGAAATAGTTGGGTATATCCATATATACATATATCAGTAATGGAATATAGACATAGATGATTGATAGGTAGTAGACAGATGACAGAAACATAATAAATAGGTAAATGAAAAATGCTAGATACAAATTAATAATTAAAATGATACATGCCAAATGACTATAAAGTAAGATCTGTAAATGTTTTAAAGAAAACCAAGATCAATACAGTTTTAAAATAAATGTACAATTCTTGTTTTAATTTTAACATCATAAATACACTCATATATTTGCACAATCATAAGTGGATTCATACATATTTGTATAATTTCCACTTATTTCTAAAGTAAGTGACAATAAAACGTTATTGAAATCTTTTAGGTACTTTTAGAAGGACATAAGATCCATTTATCAGTCTTCTCTGTATTTTTCAGTTTTGAAATACCCTTGATTTTGAGGAGAATCCTTCAATACTACCTCCCAATTCAAATATTCTTTTTACAGTGAATCTTCTGAAGTTATCTATAGTGGCAATTCAATTTCAACAACATTTTCAAATTTCTGCACTCCTAATATGCCTTTTTCATACCAGCACATACATGACAGACCTTGTTTGTCCTCTTATGTATGTCCTCTTATTTTGTGTAAGGAAAGTTATTTCATCACCATGAAACCAAACACACCTGTTTTAATCATTATACCATTCCATTCAATTAATGTTACCAAAAATGAATTTATGTTCACATTATTGATCATTCAAGTTAGTGAATTTCTCAGAAAGTGAGTTCTTCAATTTTTTTTCTCAGAATTCTGGATAAACATCCTCTCACAGTGTGTTAAGTTTCAGTAGACTAACAAAGCAAGTCTTGACTGCGCAAAAGCAAGCAAATAAGTGAAGGTGTTGACAAATGCAGATCGCCAGCACCATCTGCACTCAAGGCTGGTCATCCCACTCATTAAATAGTAACAGTCGGGCCTTCTGTAAAGGGTCTCTTCAGAAATTGTGCAGCGCTCCCTCACTACAATCCTGCCATGGAAAGGACACTATGGGAGTCACAAGAGACATGCAGGGCTAGCAAAGATCACAATGGCTACATAATCTAGTTGGAGATTCAAGACCTATGGAAGATGCATTAGTCTAGAGGGCAGCGTGTGCTGTGTGAAGTAGGTGAAACACAAAAGGTGAACAACAGGAAGAAGCCATCAGAAGACCTTCACAGAGCAGGCAAGTCCCAAGCTGTGACACAGAAGAGAAAGTCCTGTGACCAGGTGACAGAGGCAAAGATGAGTGCCTCGGGGTCAGGATGAGCTAAGCGGCTGGGGCTAGGGCAAAAGTGGTGATGGCCGCACATTCTGTCTGCTAGAAGACCAGAAGCAAGGTGCACGAAGAAATGCTACAGTTTTTGTCAAATCTACTCCCTCCTTTTTTCATACTGTCAGCACTTTTAGATAAAAATTCACAGAAGACTACAGTTTAACCATCCATCTACACCATCATCCTCCTGGGTCCAGTAAATTGGTTCCACAGATAAATTGGAGCTGGGTATTATGAGTCATCAATTACCTGGGTAAAAAGAATTAATGGATATATCATGAATCAAACAATCATCTGTGATACAAGCACTTAACAGTAAAAGTTCATCAATTATATTTACTTTAATAATTAAAAAATCATCTTAGGGTCTCACAGCCCACATGGGAAAAGAGGAAAACTACTCACCTGCATTTAGCATCATTCTCTTAAACACGACAGCTATTTTTTTTTGTTATAATTTCATCAATACTATATATTCTATGAAGGATTACTGTTCTTATTTTATGAACAAAGAAATTCAGGCTTGATATGTTGTTGTGCATCTATTAATGGAAAACAAAGGACCAGCATTGGGGTGTGAGGGTCGGTGGGTGCGTGCTTTAAAGATTTTTAGTTGGCAACAAGCTTTCCCCAAAATAAATTCAGCCAATGTGGCTATTTGCTATCAGTCTCAAGAATATTATCCCAGAGGTCATGGCTACATTTTTATTTTTGATCCCAGCATAGTACAGGTGAGTTCCTCTGGGCTTTATTTGTATAAACGATTCTTCCTTCAAACTAAATTACTGTAAAACACTTACCACAAAGGAAATTGCTAACAAAATCATTATCTACCTCAGTACAAACTAATGTGATTACTTTCAGGAAACAGAAGCAACTGAATTATATAATAGAAATATTAGTTTAAAGGGTCACTGGATGTCAGAATGCATCATTTTACAAAAGTGTCTGAGACACTATTCATCAGAACTACAGTGCTTAGAACACCAAGTCAACACCATGACTCAGCAAGTCTCCCTTGGTTCATTCGGCTCCAATAATACAGTCCATAACGGGGGGGGGGGGGGGGGGGGGGGGGAGATGGGGGTGCATTCTCTTTCTGAGGTACCTCCTTCCTCTTGCACAGAATAAGAAAAAAAACAAAAACAAAGAGGACCACCTGAGTCTCCCCTTATTAGCAAATGAAGCCTCTGCCTTCATTCACTCACCTCCATTAATATAGAGAAATACACCCAGATGTTAGCTGCAGGGGGGCAGCTTAGACTCACAACCTCATCTGAGAGACATAGAAACTAAGAAACAACCCAAGTGAAGGCCTTTCCCGATCACCACTGCAGAAACAGTGATGAGAACCAACTCTGACCTGTTCTCAGTCAGACAGAAGCTCTTCAGTGGAACTGTGCCTAGAACAAGGGATGGAAACCAATGGCTGTCATTCTTCGGTCTCACTTAAACACACACTTTAGCTAATCTCTTGCTTTACAAGCAGGGTCAAGAAGTTTGTGGGAAATACCTGAATTATTGGTCTTCTGCAATACACTAAAATACTTTCCAAACTATACAAAACATTCAAAATATATCAAATCAGCATACTTGTTGTTTTTAAAAAGTCATGGTAGTCAGAGTGTACCATTAAGGGGATGGGGAAAAGTCTGCAGCTAGGGAAAACCCCAGGAACTCACAAGGATGTCCCCAGCTAAGACTCATAGCAAAGGTGGAGAGGGTACTTGAACTAGCCTTCCCCTGCACTCAGACTGATGACTACCCTAATTGTCATCATAGAACTTACATCCAGTGACTGATGGAAGCAGATGCAGAGACCCACAGCCAAGTACTTGGCCAAGATCCTGGAGTTCAGTTGAAGAGAAGAAGAAGGATAATAAGAGCAAGGGAGGTCAGAATCATGATGGGAAAAACCACAGAGACAGCTGACCCAAGCTAGTGGGAGCTCATGGACTCTGGACTGACAGCTGGGGAGTCTGCATGGGACCATACTAGGTTCTCTGAATGTGGGTGACAGTTGCGTGGCTTGATGTGTTTGTGGGTCCCCTGGCAATGGGACCAGGACTTATCCTGGGTACACAAACTGGCTTTTTAGAGCCCATTGCCTATGGGGTGATGCCTTACTCAGCCTTGATGCAGCGGGAGGGGCTTGGTCCTGCCCCAACTTGGTATGCCAGCCTGTGTTGACTACCCAAGGGAGGCCTTACCCCATATGAGGAGAGGATGGGGGTGGGATGGGGGGAGGTAGGGGAGAGCAGGAGAAGGGGAGGGAGGTGGAATAGGGATTAGTATGTAAAATGAAAGAAAAAATGTTTAAATAAAAAAAAAATCATGGTAGCATTCACCCTTAAACCAAGCACTGGGGAGATAGTGGCAGGTGCCTCTCTATGGCTCAGAGGCCAACCTGTCTACATAGAGAGTTTAAGACCAACCAGAGCTACGGAGTGAGACCCTGTCTAAAAAACTGGTTTTTTAAAAAAAACCACAACATCATGAGGAGGACAGAATATACCCTCAAAAGATCAGTTGAGATTATCAGGCAACTATGATTGTCAAAGATGTATCAATCCTATACAGAATACGGATATATTACCAGATTATTAATAATTACCATTCTGTACACAGAATCCCATAGATACAGTCTACTGTCTGTAACATATTAGACATAATCAAAAGACTCTTGAAATGGAAAACAAGAGAAAGAAAGATACTGGATGTCAAACAAATTTAAATTTGAAAGTTTTCTTTGTCCGAACTCAAGAGTAACATGTTTTAGACTGGAGTGTAGCTGAAATAGTCACATGCTTACCTGGCATGCACTAAAGAAGTTTAGCTTCAATCCCCAACAGCACATAAAAGGACTGCAGTCCCAAAACTCAGGCGGGGAGGCAGGAGGATCAGAACTCTAAAGTCATCCTTGGTTACATAAAAACATGTCTCAAAAACTAAAAATAAATAAAAGAAAAAGAAAAAGAGGAACTGTTTTGTAAAATACACAAGACAGAGAGTGGACTAGAGTAATTTAAATTTGCATGAACATTTGAAATGTTTTCCCTCTGTTTCAGAGCTTTTCCTCCATGGTATAACAGCTGCAAGATCATATAATTTCCATCAAACTTTTTATATCAAAAAGAAAAAAACTGGAAGAAAAGAAAGACATAAAAGATGTTCTAGTTTGTTTTAAAAGTATGTTGCTTAGGTTCTAGTTTTTAAATGTGTATTTTGGCCCATATGAATTGCTCCAAATCACATCCCCAACAATAAGCACATTCCAAAGTATACAGTGTGACACAACCCCATAAAAACCTCTTGAGCTGAATCTCCCACAGAGAAACACACAGAGGCCCTGGATCCTATAATGCCCTGTACAGGAAAAACTCTGAAAACGTTCGTACAAGCATCGGGAACTTTGGGTGTTGTTTGTAGTGGTGAAAACTAGCAACAATCCAAATGTCTATCAACAATGAGAAATAAAAATTCTGCAATAGCTATAGAAAAGAGCAATACATAGCAATTAAAGTAACATTAGCTATCCACAGCAGGAATAAATCTCAAGTACATAATAGAGAATGAAAGAAACCAGACACAACAGAGTACTTACTATATAATTCAATTTATACACATTCTAAAAGCAGGCAAAACTAATCTATGGAGAGATGGAGCGTCTGGATGATGTAGTAACAGGAAGAGAACATACAGGAGCCATGTCCTTCATCCTGATCAATGAGATGGCTATAGGTGCACAGTTCTGGAAAAGTTTATCAAGCTGTATGTAAGCTCAGGGATTGTATATGCTTCTACTTGCAAAGTTAATTTAAATTTTAAAATTTCACCTAAAACATGAAGTGCTGCTAAGAAAATTTTTAACATTGCTTCCTGGAACAGTGAATTCTACATTACAGTTCCGAGCATCTTGCTTTCTGATGATGACTCTTCCAACTAGTTATGTGATCTCTTATATAACCTAATGTCCCAGTGATAGCTGTAGTGGCCAACAAATCTCAGATGTTCTAAGGACATTTTTTAAAAGACCCTACTAGTGGAGGCTATCACCTGAAGACCAGCACCAGAATAAGATATTAATTCATTTTTACTCAAATAACAAGTATTTATTGTGAGTCTACTAAGTAAGGAACACTGTTGAAGTTATGGAGGAGGATAAATAATATACAGTAAACATCCTGGAGGGAAGGATGAATGGAAAATGTAACTTTAGTGTGTAGTGCATACAGACAAACACACACACACACACACACACACACACACACACACACACACACCACAAATGAGACGTTCAACCAGTCTGAACATGCCTACCTGAACACACATAAATACAGAAGGGGAAATAATTTGAAATAGCTATTTCATTATGCTCAGAAGTAGAACTATTTCCAAGATTAACACTTCTACATAAATCTTCATAAGTAAATCTTGATAACATATAAAATATTTAAGCATATTCTGAAACCACAAAGGATAGAACTGGAACCAAAAAGGCAGACTCCTTGAAGAAAAGGATTAGCCTGGTATTTAAGAAAGAGCTTTAGGTAACCAGAACCATTTTTGAAGTCTTAGAAGAGAGATTTGAGGTTGGACTGTAAAGTGGAAAATAATCGTGGAAACAGGCTAACTTTGATTTACAAGATCCTTCTAGAAATTTATTTTATGAATTGGGATTAGAAACTGAGGATTTTGAAATATATTTAAAAATGATGTATTTTAAAGTATTTGTTGTTTCACACATACAGAAAGATGATAAAGGTCATAGACATCTTACTCTAGTAAAAATTTGAATTTTGAATTCCGATGCCATCTTCTAGTGCTTTGCAGTGCTAGGACAAAACACATAAAGTTTATAGCAGATAAAATTTTAGATTTCTCCCCAGTAAGCATTCTGTCTGCACTTTAATTATTTCAATTTTTGCAGTGTTTTTAAGCATGTTGGAATTTTTATGTAAGTAAATATTCACTTTCTCAAATAGAAAAATATGGCAAAACCTCCAGAATGACATGATTTATTAATAGTGTATTTTATCACTCTTCCAGAATAAAAACTGCCTGAACCCCAGAAACCCACTGAAAAACAAACAGCTCTTCCTGAAGCACCATTCGTGCCCCTTCTCAGTCCTCTTGGCCTACATATCCAGGTAACACAGGACCTTGGCTCAGAACACTCACTACCTCCCTAACACTCAGTACCTTCCCTACTACAACCACATGCTGGGCTGGACTGTGCAATGGCCTGT